TTCGTTTCCAAATGATTTGCGGATTAAATTTTCCTGCTTAATTAAAAAATATTTGGAATGTCTGGCTTAGTTTATTTGATCGAATCTGCTTACTTTGCGTTAATGTTTCTAATTTTTTTTAGCACCTGGAAGCTGAATTTTCCTGATTTTTAGTTCTGGATGCTCCCCCGTGAAGCTAATCAAACATTTCTTTTGTTCTGCTTACACAAGCCCTCCAAAAACCATGATTGTTCGTTAACGTTATGAAAAACAAGGACCTTCAAGGAAATCCCAACGATTAGGTGCACAAAATTTATTTCAGCAAGATCTTTACCAGCAGAATAGACTCTAATACTTGATAAACTCAATGGATAAACTCAATAAACAGCCACAAAATACAAAAAAGAATTAGCCTATCCAAAACACGTAACTTTGGCAAGCAAAATATGGCCGGCAGGAGGAACACAAACTACTATTCACATACACTATTTCTAACAATAAAAACAACAGTTTTAGGTATAACAACGTAGATAATTCACAACTAGCATTATTTAAAATTCATAACACCATTTGATAACACATAAACAAAGGGTTTGTGTACCCCTTGGCAGACATTTTAATTTTAATTTAAATTTGACAGCATCTTTGATAATCTCTCAACAACAAAAGTCAAATGTCGAAAAATTCTTCTTCGTTTTTGTATCTGTCGAAATGGCCATTACCAAATACTCGAATTTGCGACGTTGCCAAGGCAAATGATACTCGTATACGATATAATTTTCGAAGGACCTTCAAAAATACGCATTTTAGTTCGTACACGATTTTTTTCATGCGAATTAGATCGCATGCGAAATAATTCGCATGGTTTCGAAAATACGACCCCTGATAAGAGTATTTTTTTCTACTAAAACAAATGACAGGTTTTGACAGTTCTGTCATTTTTTTTTCAATTTTTGAATTCAGAATTTACATACAAGTTAAAAATGTCAGATGACATCATAAAATATTGAAAACTGGAAAAGATGAGTGCTGCCGTTTGGCAGGGTTTTGACAGGTGTCAAAATGGTTGACATTTTTCGACTTAACTTGGTCGACTTAGTAGAAATAGATGTTTGGTTCATCAAAATCTTCTATGGCAGATAGTTACTCTGCTTTTGGATATAAGATTCCAATATTTGACAGCTAATCACGCCTCACCTGTCATATATACAGGGTTGTGCCCATGGTGAAAAATGTTGCTTACGGCATCCCCAATAACATATTTAAATTTCATCCAAATATCACGGGTAACCAATTTCCATTTAAATATTGGTCCTTTATAAATATGTTTTAGTGCTTCGTTAGTGCTTCAAATAGTTTCGAAAGTGCTTTTCTGATTTTTTAGATATTTTAGATTTAACTTCAAGGTCAGCCCCCATAAATTTTTCGAACTACTCAATTTTGGTGTCATCTTTCAGTGCTTCATTAGTGCTTTTTAGTGCTTCAAACAGTTGCATTCAAGAATATTTCCTTTCTGAGATATTGAACTTTCCATTTTCAAGGTCAGTCCTCAAATCATATCGGATTTAGTTGAATCTAGACTCGTCTACTTGTATATTATTACTTGTTTGTTGATACCAATGCACTATAAAAGTGAGGCAAATTGAGATGGAGAATGTGACGGATACCAATCTCTCCTTATCTTGTTGGCAACTTATGTAAATCTTTCCTTGTCTTGTGATGAGCAATGATTACCAGCATCTTCTACTACTCTAGATGCCTTTAGCAGGACACTTTTGCAACTAAATTATTATAAAAGAGAGAGATAGAGAGTGCCCCTTATATCTTTTCTCCCAAAGTATAAACCAATGTTTGCTTCTTCAGTGATAGTAGCGTCCCTGTGTTTTCTGTACATTTGGAATAAGTTTGGGTTTCTGTGCTTTGGGTGCCAATTTTAAATAAAAAATACTAAATAATCAGAATATGGGAAGGGCATTAGGAAAACTATCTAAAGCACTATAAAGCACTAACAAGGCGCAAAAAAACGACCTAGATTTAACTTAATCCCATATGATTTGAGGGCTGACCTTGAAAATTTAAAGTTGAATATCTCAAAAAGGAAATATTCTTGGATGCAACTCTTTGAAGCTCTAAAAAGCACTAACGAAGCACTAAAAACTGACACCAAAATTGAGTAATTCGGTAAATTTTTGGGGGCTGACCTTGAAGTTAAAATTTAAAATATTTAAGAAATTAAAAAAGCACTTTCGAAATAATTCTAAGCACCAAGAAGCACTTACAAAGCACTAAAACATAGTGACAAATTTCGTTCATTTTGACAGATTGTCAGGGCTGACCTTGAAATCACAAAAAAATCGATATACAGAAAACAGAAAAAGCACTAACGAAAACAATTGAGGCACTAAGAAGCACTAAAGAAGCACTAACAAAAAAGATATTTTCCCAAAAAAAATTAACACTTCAGGGGACAACTTCACGGACCTCTTTTTGACACCCTCTGTATATGCGCGAATACAAAAAAACAAATTAATGATTTAAACCCTATAGGTAGTAAAGTTTTTTTTTTTTTTTTTAAGATAAATGTCAAAATGACATTATGCTGTTAATGCAATGTAAAATTGTCAGTACTCTCAAATTTTTTATGTAGAAAAGGCTTGTGTTGCCAACATAGTTACTAAATTTTTGACTTGGGGAATTATCTTTAAAAAAAAACAGACTTTACGGGATACGAGGCATATTTCATCAAATGATTTTACACCGTCTTGCATTGTTATCATCAATTAGATAACATGATGCTGAAACGCATTTACGCAGAGAAATAGATGGAAGTGGAAGATAAAAATGTTTGAGAAAATGTCGTCATAAACGAGGAAAATATATAATTATACATCGTCTTGCATTTATCTATTGAGTTAATTTGTACACAAACAAAAGTGGATTAACATATGCAAGAGTTTTTATGGAGGGTTTGGGGTTGTAATATTAGATAGAAATTATTAATTTTTGAAAGGAATGAACTATCATTTATTTTGCAAAATTCTCTTAATAATATGTATACCGAGTGTCCCACCGAAAACTGTCAATGGCCTATATCTCGAAAACGGTATTCGATTAAAAAAAAATGAAAAACTCGTTTGTAGGGCTGGAAGGGGGAACCAAAACAAGATACTTTTCAGCTCTCTCCGAAGCACCCCTACGGCGGTAGCCACCCTAACCTTAAAATCTTAAATGGCACTATAGGTCATGTGATACTTTATTTAAAAGGTTTTTTGATTCTCTAAACGAATCTGCAAAATAAATTATCCAGACACAATGATCACAAAATATCTCGTGCTTCGAATTAACAACTTTGCGCTCTTGAGGAGGTGACCAGCTTTAGGTAGAGTAAGGGTTTTTTAACAATTTTAAATTACATTTACCTGTTCCACCCGATCAAATAAGGTTTTCATCAAAATTAGAATCACATTTAAATCTGGATAACTTTTTTTTTTCCGCAGATCCATTTAGAGAATTAAAAGACCTTTAAAACAAGGTATCACATGACCTATAATGCCATTTAGGATTTTGAGATTGGGGTGGCTGCCACCGCAGGGGTGGTTCGAAGAGAGCTGAAGTACCTTGTTTTGGTTCCCCTTTACAACCCTCCAAACAGGTTTTTTATTTTTTCTATCTATTGCAGTTTTCAAGATATAGGCCATTGACAGTTTTCGGTGGGACACCCTGTATATGAATGCCCCTACGGACATCAAATTTAAAAAAAATTGTAAAATAAAGAGTGAAGATAGACTGTGTGTTTTACTCCAGTTCTTTAAATAAGAAAAGATTGAAAATTAATTTTGAAGCAGCAAAAAAATGACAGAACAAATGATCTGTCTGAAATTGTAAATAGAAATTATAATTCTGTGTATTCAGCAGACTCCCCTGTCGGGCTGCTATGTCAACTGTCCTTTTTCATCTGTATGATTTAGAAAAGCATGAGCAGTGAACGGTCAGTGAATAACTCAACAGATCAGTGAAAAACGGATTTATTAACTTTTTTCCCCGAAAAATCATCTTGCACTGATGTATTACTATTTCTCAACACATATTCTTTCGGCGGACATAAGCATGAAGTGGTGTAAAATAATAATTTTTCACACCCTCATGAGACAACGCATTGACCTCCGTTTTGCAGCCCGTGACCTCTCTATAGGACGTCTTGCATTAGTATTCAGTGGCTCTTTTACATTCAAGCTTTAATCTAAATCAACAATGGAGTGGTGTAGAATGATATTCCACCCCTCTCAAAAATTGACAATTTCTATTTAATATTATAACCCCAAAACACCCATGAAAACGTCTTGCATGTGTTAATCTAATTTTGTTTGTGTACAAAGTAACTCAATAAATACTTGCAAGACGGTGTATAGTTATATATTTTCCTCATTTATGACGACATTTTCTCGAACATTTTTAACAGCGAAATCCCCCACTCCCATCTATTTCCCTCCTCAAGTAGTGCGTTTCAGCATCATGTTATCTAACTGATGATAAATATGCAAGACTGTGTAAAATGATTTGATGAAATAGACCACGTATCTCGTACTACTATAATTTCTGTATACAACTTTTTGTTATTTGGCTCACCTGTACGTATGTGTTACAGTATTACATAAAATGCCAATTCATTAACATAGTAATAAGAAAAAACGTAGCATTTACGCTAACAGTCAATTGGATGATTTTTTTTTATTTTTAATGTGGTAATAAGCACATGAATATCGGCTTTAGTCAATGAGAGGGCGTTTTCATACACGTGATTTTTTGTTTAAAGTTGCTATTTGTATTTATTAATAATTTATTCAATAATTTAACTAAAGGCTTGCAAAATATTGTTCATTCTTGGTTGCATTCGTGTATCTGCATCGAAAAATATCATAATTTTCCATATTCTCGTCATGTGAGAGTCGCCTATTGTCACAAAGATAAATATAGACCAAATTCCATTTATAAACATGTAATAATTTTATTTTATATTGTAGATTCTTAGATCTTCATACTCTTACTTTGCCGTTTTGCAACGAATTTACAAGCAATAAAAAAAAAACGATCCGCAGTGAAAAGGACTAAAGGCCAATGGACATTTGAATAGAATTAGTAAAAATTACACATGCATGCATGCACAGCACAAATTATTAATAATGTTTAATGATACACGATTATCAAAAATATATTATTATTATCATTATCAGCCCGCGCACTTGCCGCTTCTCCGCGCACTTGCCGCTTCTCGAGCGTGATAGGACATTGTCCTTGCGAGTGCGCATATCCGTAAAAAAAAAAAAAAAAAAAAAGCTAATGTTTTCATTTTAATCTGAAAAATTTAAACATCAAAGATGGCTATGGCTATGATTTTTCAAACGTATGTCAGCAATACATATTTTTCTTCAAATTTGTCATTGCATTTTGTGTCAAAATGTTATGTAAAAAATCCTGACCAATAAAGAAACAATAATGCGATGTAATCTTTGTAATCAAAGTACTCTGGCCACTCTGATATATATATATATATTTTTTTTGAAGACCTGTTATCTGCGTATACAAGTGACGTTGTTTCCACCTTGATAATTTCAAGATTTTGAAACTATTGTCCATTAGACCACATGAAATAGAGAAACCTCAGAAGAAAAAAAATCACAGAAAGTTAATTTGATTGGTTCAAAATAAGGCAAGTGCATACAATAAAATTAATACTGTATCCTGGTAAATTTGATAGACTGGCCCTTCTATAATAATAATTATGACAACACACATGTAAAAACTTTATCAGACTTTTCTTAATTTCGAAAATATAAGAAAACCTTGATGATTAATCAAAATTCTGAAAACGCGTAAAGTTTGACAAAAGTTCATTATTATACACGAACCAGTCTGTCAAATTTATAAAAATGAACGAATATGAAAAAAAAACCCAAAAAGAATAATTTGGTCCAAGAATTTTCCTAAAGTTTACCAACATATTAAGTTTAGTTTTAAATAAAGAATTGTTTTTCTGGTAATAATGCAACATAATACAACTAAGAAAATTTTTAAGGCATGCTCATGCTCATACCTGTTAGGGGGAGATCTAACTGGCGAACGGAACCGTCCCGAGGCACCCCTTCTCGCCTGCGTCAGGGGTGAACGCCTCAACGACGGCAATGGGGAACCGCGGGGGCTCTTCGAGTACGAGCGAGAACGCGACCTAAAATTAACACAACCCCTTAAGTAAACAAAAAGCATAAGCATATTTTTCTTGTTAGACACAAAAAAGCACCTGTCTTCAAAAAAAGCCCCAAAAATCATACCTGCTCATCGAGAATGATCTACTCCTGCTTCTTGACTTGCGCCTTCTGGGGCTTCTGCTGCGCCTCCTCAAAGGCGGCGGCGATCTGCTGAAGCTCCTGCTACGGCTACGACTGCGACTCCAACTGCTGCGTCGTGCAGCTAAGCGCTGCTGTCTTGCACGTTTCTCGTCTTTTTCACGCAGAATACGATTGAAGGCGGCCAGCGGGTCGTCAATTACCCTAATTGAGGGGAAACAAAACATTGAATCTGCTAATTTTTTTGTCTAGTTTTGACTACTTACCCAGGGGGCGTTCTTTCTCTTCCTCTTCTACCGAAATCACGCCTTCCACCGTAATTGTTAGCAAAATTTCCTGGTGGTGGACCAACCATGGGATCGAAAACTGGCCTAGTGCCTTGGTAGCTGTAACATAAATAAATTGGACATTTACTTAAAGTAAATATCGGGTCTTCAAAAAAAAAACCAATCAAAGATTGCTTTGGTTACGAAAACGTACGTCGCATACCTGTTTCACCATTGGTTAGAATTTTTGACATGATATTTTGACATTAAAGGTCATTGACAAAATTAAAGAAAAATATTGCTAAGACATACGTTTAAAAAACCATAGCAATCTTTGATTGGTTTTTTTTTTTGAAGACCCGATATACCGGGTGTTTTTCAAAACCCGCTCACCCCTATAACTTTTTTATTTTTCCAGATAAACAAATGAAATTTGGTGTGTTTATTTATGACCCGGATGTGCATTATTTGACGTATTTAATTTTTTACTATCACTTCCGGTTTGACCGGAAGTGATCCTAACTTTCTTATTTTAAATGAGACGCTAGGTATATTTTTCCTCATTTTAATAGAAAACTACATTACGAGTACAATGACACCTCATTTGTCACTTTTTGACATTTCATCACCAAATTATTTAAATTTTTACTTTTAAATCTAGAGCACCATGAATAAGTCAAAATGCTTAATTTTGCTCCTAGGAACATGGGAAAATTTGTTTTGATCATATTTTGTATTTTATATCCTCTACAGACTCATTTAAAGATAGTAGAAGCACATTTTTAGAATTATATCAGTTTTTTCAAATGGAAAGGGTATGGCTCATGAGCATGTTCCAAAAGAGCGTTTTCTAACGAGCAATTCAGTACCACACAATCGCTAGTTCATCACTCAAATTAAGAATTTTTCTAGCATTCTAAATATTTTTGGAAAATTTTAGTTCAATATTTGAATAAACTAGCGATTGTGTGGTACTGAATTGTTTGTTAGAAAATGCTCTCTCGAAATATGCTAATGAGCCATACCCTTTCCATTTGAAAAAATTGATATAATTCCAAAAATGCGCTTCTACTAACTTTAAATGAGCCTTTAGAGGATATAAAATTCAAAATAAGCTCAAAACAAATTTTCCCATGTTTCTAGGAGCAAAATTAAGCATTTTAACTTATTCATGGCGCTCTAGATTAAAAAGTAAAAATTTAAATAATTTGGAGGCGAAATGTCAAAAAGTGACAAATGAGGTGTCATTGTACTCGTAATGTAGTTTTCTATTGAAATGAGGAAAAATTCACCTGGCGTCTCATTTAAAATAAGGAAGTTAGGGTCACTTCCGGTCAAACCGGAAGTGATAGTAAAAAATTGAATACGTCAAATAATGCACATCCGGGTCATAAATAAACACACCAAATTTCATTTGTTTATTTGAAAAAATAAAAAAGTTATAGGGGTGAGCGGGTTTTGAAAAACACCCGGTATATAGATATAAAAAAAAACTTTTTATGCTGTCCAAAATACACAATAAATAATTTTCACGAGTATATGCTATCGCCAATTACATTACCATCAATTTTCAGAGATTCAAATAATATTGAACTCACCTAACATTATTAAATATCCAATCAGTTCACAAAAAATTGCAGGAATTATCATTGTTTTTGAATAAAATTCAGTATTCAGATTTTATATTACTCACTGAACAGTGGCTCAATGAACATGAGCTAATATTTTTGCTATTTGTTGTATTTTACATACATATTTAATTTATCAAAAGAAAACTAATCAACAGTCACACCTTTACAAATATGAGCAGATTAATTATCTCAAAGTGAAAAATAAATTTGATTTTTCAATCACATATCTCAAGCTTAAAATACAATTATACATTACAATGATGTATGTACAGGGTGATCTATTATAAATGTAACCCTCTCCTAACTTTTATATTTAACAGAAGTGTCAGATACAAAAGTTTCAAGAAATTGTCAATTTTTTTCAACTAAGCCAGTTTTAGGCATACAGGGTGCGTCAAAAAATTGTAACAGAGCGAAGTTGTATTTTTTTAAATGGAAGTCCGTGTATATTGGGCGCTCAGCCTCCTTCAATCTGATTTCAACGATATAGGGTTTGATATGTTTATCTCTCACTCATCTTCAATAGTAATGGGGAAAAACGCGAAAATCCCTACCTCATTATTATTTTTTTAATAATAATAATAATAATAATAATAATAATAATAATAATAATAATAATAGCTTCAGCCATCTAGATTTATTACAATATTTCACCTTGTAAATTAATGAATACCATTTGAACAATAAACTGTTTATAAATAAGGTACCTGTTCCAAATAAGACCATGTTAAGAACCCAACAAAAATTACGAGCTTATATGTGAATTATTTCGCTTCTATTACTTGAATATTAACTCCAATTTTTTTATTTTTTTATATAAGTGGTGGTTTTTGCGTAAAACAAAGATGCTTACCATTGGCCTTATTTTGATCACTATACTCCTAATAAGGCAATCAATAAAATGTTTGAAATAAATACAATTATTTATAAAAATATCATTATCTGAGAAATAGTATACAAAATAGAACTTATAAGTTTGCTGCATTCCTAAAAAAACAATAATTCCAAGTCCTGGGATGGTGATCCAAATAGGTCTACATACAACTAGGACAAATGAACCGCAGCATCTCCAGGCATTTCAAAAAACATCACTAAGGTAATAAAATGACACATTTTGTTAAAAAAACACTGTGATGTGAGGCTAATTGATCATTTTTCGTATGATGGCCTTATCAGGAACATGTTAAATTGTTAAAAAAAAGTCTGTTACTAGAAATTTAGCAAAGATATTATTCTGTACTTACTCTGTAGCGTTCTCAATACAAAAAGGTCCGTTAAAAAATTACAATCGCTCCATTCACTTTATAAACACGTATACAGTGTCATTACATATTATGGGATTTTTTTTTAGTAATAGCACAATCAAAATACAAACAAAGCCAAAAGTTGGTGCATGTCTGATAATCATATTAGGTACACTTAGAATGGTTGCAAGTCAAACTGCATACAGGGTAGCTCAAAAAATATCAAAATTGTAGTAATATTTACTTAAATAAAATAAAACTTTTGCACCTTAAGGAGAGTTTTTTTAATATGGCTATTTTCATTAGTAATGTTTTAACTTGTTAAAAAAAAAATGTGAGATTTTAAAGTTGTGTTGAATATCATTGCAACAAACATGAATTTTGTGATTCCATAAAAAATTAAAAATCTAAGCTAATTTTACAAATCAGGCAATTCAATCCATCTGTCAAAGTGGAAAATTCAATAGAGCGTGGCGGCCAAGCAAGTTTGTTTTGAATATGTTTTAGTGCGTATTTCAAATTATTTTGCTTAGAGTTTTGCTTGCAACTTTGATTTTGATTTATTTAATAAAATATTTGCTGAATAGGTACCTAAACTATTAAATTGGACAGAAACTATATATTTTTGTGTGTTTTTTTGCCCATGTGTGGCCGCCACGCCATCTTGAGTGTCACGTGGTTTGAATTGCCTAATATGCTTGAATTTAAACAAACTTATGAGGTAATATTATAAATCCACCTCAAACATACAGACATTTGTTACAAAACTTATGTAAAATTGATTTGATTTCAATTAATTTTTGAAAGTATTAAGGGCGGAAATAGAAAATAAAAAAAATATAGAAATTATAGATTTTTTTCGAAAAAAAAAAAATTAAAAAATCTTAAGAGTAAGAGGCTATGTTTGGTATTTAGGCATAACTTTTAATTCTGAACAACTTTTCTCTATAAAATTTTGCTGAATTTTCAAAAATAAGGGTACTTTACAGTACAGCTTTGATATTGTTTGAGCTACCCTGTATGCTGTTTGACTTGCAACCATTCTAAGTGCACCTAATATGATTATCAGACATGCACCAACTTTTGGCCTTGTTTGTATTTGGGTTGTGCTATTACTAAAAAAAATCCCCATATGTTGCACACTTAAAAAATCACACTGTATAAGCTAATTGAGTTCCAGCCTCAAAATTATAAAATGACATATGAAATATGTGGTTGGCCATTTTTCGACATCTGACGAGTTGCTAGGAACGCTCGCAATAATTTTTGATTTGCATTATAGATTTTTTTTTGATAATACTGTAATTTTTGGCAAAGGGATTCAATAAAGGGCACTGGCCTTATTAGGTACAGGGCCTTATTTGGGTCAGGTACCCTATATATAAATAATTCTCGCTAAAGCTTAAATGGTATCGGGTCTTCAAAAAACCAGATGTCAAATTTTTGACATAACGCTTCCTAGATAAATAACTACCTAATGAAACCTATTGAGATTTTTGAGATTATATAAAGCAAAATGAGCTCTATTCAATCAATGAAAAAAAACATGGCGTTCCCATTTAAAAAAAAGATCAATGACGTCATATCTTTGAGAGGATTCTTTTTCCTATATCTCTGTGTAACTTTTCCCTACACGTCTTCTTATACCTATTTCCAAAATTTCATCAAACATCGGGCCGTTTTCTCAGAAAAATGCCAACACACATACATACATACACACATACATACACACAGATGGAAATGTGCCACCTTGCCAAAAAGGCTCAAAATGATCCAAAACGTCAAGATTTAATAAAATTTTGACATGGTCAAAATCGGGCTATCACCATAGCTTCCTATCTAGGAAGCTAAAAAACCAATCAAAAATTGCCATGGTTTTTTAAATGTATGTCTTAGCACTATTTTTCTTTAATTTTGTCAATGAATATCAATGTCAAAATGTCATGTCAAAAATCCTGACCAATGAAGGAACAATAATGCGATACACGTTTTCGTATTCAAAGTAATCTTTGATTGGTTTTTTTTTTGAAGACCCGATATAATTTTTTTTCTTTAACATGAGGTCTTGAAAGGGGTTTTCATGTTTTTCCCTATTACTATTGATGATAGACATATCAAACCATATCGAGGGCTGAAACGCAGGACCTCGTATCTCACAAATCATAAAATGTGCAGGAGCACCAAAAAACTGTTCAAAATATAAATGGGAATTAATTATCGAAGTTGGGATATTTTTTTATTCGAAAAAACTTCGAATAAATAAATGCAGTGAGAAAAAAAAAACTTCAGTAGGGATTTTCAGAAATAACCGTCACTTACGAGTTAATGTTGTAAAAAGTATGTCAGTTACGTGGTTATGCAATAATATTGAGGAAATAAGGAATTTGAAATAGGAATAAAAATAATTATTTTTATTAACTACCAGTTCAACAAAATGGCAAAACAAATTGAATAAACCTAAAGATTCTTCAAAAAACTTAATCCTAGCTATTACAAAATATTTGGTTTTTCTGCACAAATAAAAGAAAATCCATTATAGCTGAATAAAATGCTAAAATAAATAAACAAACTTAAAAATTCATTCAAAAACTTTTAGGATATTATAAATAAGTATTTGTTTTTTTAACAAATGAAAGAAAATCCATTATTCTATTTGTGAGGAAGGGAGTCATAAAACCCCCAGCAGTCTTTTGGTATCACTTGCTTAATCGCTTGCAGGTGCGAGTATTTGATGCTTGAAATAGGTAGCCTTTGCCTGAAAAGTTGGGGAAATATGACGTTGCCTAACTGTATGATCTTTGGTCTGATTGGTAAATCTTTAATTTAAATTCAGATTCAAAGTTCAGCTTGAATCTAATTTTATCTTCGTAATACTGAAGTACACGTATATCAACAACATTGCTGTCTCCAGCCGTTCTGCTAGGCCGAATTGAACTATACTTCAAGTAATCCTTATGAGCGTAATTTCTGAAAAACGAATAGGTAGTCCATGCTTTTGGCTATGTAAGGATTCTTCTGACGAGATTCTTTAGTAACCCGTAGGTAATCACAGGGCAAGTAAATCTCTTTATTTTTGAGTGAGGTCTCTATAGCACTGTGAACAGAGTCACACTCCATTTGAGTGTGACCCTTTTCTAGATACTTTTGGGTTATACACACTTTGTATTTTTCTGACACGTGAAGTAAAGCGTTAGATATTACACAATTGCGATTCTGAGCAGTACACCCATCGGAGTAAATGACGATAGGAATCATTGGATTACTTGGGTTCAGAAAATTCTCTTCCAGGTCTACAAGAAATGATGCGTAGGTAGATGCTTGACCGTCCGCGTTAGTCTCGTCGTACCAGTAACAAGTAGCTCGTCTATCTTTAAGGTTATAGATTGTGTAATTATGGCAGCACAATTTTGTTCTGTAATAAAGAGCGCTAGCTTTTAGCTGTGGTGCTAACTTGACAGACTGAACATCCATTACAATAACATTGCACTGTCCTTCTAAGGCCTTTTTTTTTATCTTCTTCTTTCTCCTTTCGGGCGCTATTTTTCATGTTAATATGTTCACTGTAGTCCATTTCAGATAAATTGCCATTTTTGTATTTGAAACAGATATCGCATTGGTCTTTCCTTGGACGAAATAGCGGTAAATTCATTTCTTCAGCCATTTTTGTTAATGTCTTAGCAGATAAAGGTTTTTTTTCATTCTCCTGGCACTTAATTTCGTAGACCCTGTGAAGTTGAGCAAAAGATTGAAAATTTTGTTCTAAATAAAGCTTATCAGTATCCTTCCTGCAATTAATGCGAGGGAAGTTTGTTTAAACTAGTGAGAAATTCTATGAGGAAATCTCGATCTTCTTTAAACAAATAATTTCTTGGATTATGTTGACTTAATTCTATCTGAGTACTCTTATTCATCCTATTATTGCTTTGGGTTGTCCATGATCTGATAGTCCATTCTCCCAAAGAAAGAGTGTGTGAGTACATGATTTTACACACGGGTAGGTACTTCTTCATTTCCACAAATCAAAAAATATTTGATGGTTATATTTCGTCGAGAGCTTTCTGCTTCTTTTGGTCTAGCCTTTTCAGTCACTTTAGCAGTATTACTGACGTTCACTTTTCGTTGATCCCACGTCATGTTAGACCAAAAGTTTTGAAAAATAGCTTGGCGCATTCCTTCCGTCAGCTTGAAACATTTTCTTGTCGGATCTTTGGCTTTTTGTTTACAGCTGCACCTGGCACCCAATTTTCTCTCTGTTCTTGTTGTATCATGGAACGTATTGCTTTGATTCCGTGGCTTTCTAAACCCTAAATACCGCTTTCCCGCCATTCTTAATTGCTTATTGATAAACCTCTTATTTGTTCTTTTTTCATTTCTCTTCACTGTTCCATTTTCATTCTCAGTTTCATCTTCAATAACATTGACCTGTAGCTGTATTTCATCTACATCGATTTCCATACTTTCTTCGCTGTCTGTTTCACTTTCTGGGCTGTAGTCATCATTGTCATAAACGTCAGTTTGTTCTGGTCTATGAGCTTTGCATGCTAAATCTAGAACAACGGGTTCTTCTATATTTTTTTCTCCAGATTTTGTGATAATATTCGCAATATTAATGTCATCCCCATGTTGTCGTGTCTCAATTTCATTTACCTTTTGTTTGATATCATTACTTACAAGATGAGATTGTTTATCGTGAGTTTGATTTTCTTTTTGCCAACTAACCACGTTTGTTATGTCTGACAAAACAGCACTGTTATTATGACAATCGCTTGGATTTTCGTTAATATCAAAGCTTCATTGATAATAGTAATTATATCTTCTGAACTTAAGGCTTCATCTAGTTGTCGTGTTCCAATTTCGTTAACCTCGTGTATGGTTTCATTATTTCCGATTCCGGGATGGTATTGTTCATTGTGATTGTGATTTTCAGCACTATTAACACTATTATCAGGATTATCGCTGGCATTATCGTTATCAAAGACATTCTCGACTTCTCTGATGATATTAAAAATATCTTCTGGAGATAAGGCTTTATTTAAAAGAATATTTCCTGATAGTTCAATTTCACTGATTTCTTGAAGAGAATAATCATTTTCTTCAGTATTATTTTCGCTAGAATGTGCTAGTTTGGCCAATTCCAAAATTTTTTTCGTGCGACTAGACATTTTTAGGCAGCAGTACCTCGTATCTTCTCTAGAGCAATGTGGAACATGACCTCGTAACTAACATCTGCAATTAAAAATGGAAAATTTCACGTAAAATCATCAACAATCCAGGAAATTCACTATGGGACTATTAAGATTATTGTTTACCTTGATAATTATCAGCAAAATTTAACCCTACACATTAGTTATTTCACATTATTCACATACTATTCACAAAACCACTCACCTTGACTAGTCTTAAATGGCCCAAACTTAACATTGTTGTAGTTACGAGGTCTTCCTTGACGAAAATATTATGGAGCAGGACCTCGTATCTAACACCTGTAATTAAATGTGAAATTTCACCTAAAATGATTTCCATATCCGGAAAATTATTATGCCAGAATAAAGATTATTGTCTAATTAAACAATTAATAGCAAAATTCAACCCTACACATTAGTTTTCATAATATTTTGATACTAAGAATTCTCAAAAGCACTTACCTTGACAATACCTAAATGGCGCCAACCTGAACAGTGTTGTATTTACGAGGTTATGCTTCGGGAAACCCAGCGCAATAAGTTACGAGTTACTGTTTTTGTTTATTTTCACAAATAAATAATTTTTGTAGAATTTTGTCCTTTCGAAAATAGATGGCGCTCACATAAAAGAAGACAACTACATCAAAAACCCGATTTCGTCGAAAATGTTAGTTACGAGGTCCTGCGTTTCAGCCCTCGATATATCGTTGAATTCAGGTTGAAGGCGACTAACAAATAAACGCACAATATACATGCTGTTCCATTTAAAATAATATAACTTCGCATTGCTTCACTTTTTTGACGCATCCTGTATGCTTAAAACTGACTCAGTTAAAAACTTTTGACAATTTCCTAAAACTTTTGTATGTGAAACCTAAGTCAAAAACGTCAAATGAAAAAGTTAAGGAGGGGTAACATTTATAATTAATCACCCTGTACATATCTATAGACTTCCTGCTGGTAAATTTTTATTCTTTCTTATTTGTCTGTGAAGATTTCAATATAAATGTATTATGCCGGTTTTCCACTAAACGGACTGTTGAGTTTATGTTTCAAAAAATGTTTTAAAACAAAAACACAACTGAAATAAACACAAAACTCTTGTTTCCATCAAGCGGACTACGTTCTGTTTTCTCGGGGAAACAAAACTACAACTGTCTCAAAACACGATAGTCTTGAAAATGTTTGGGAAAAGTTTGAGTTTGGGTTTTGTTTTTGTTTTGTCTGTTTGGTGGAAAACCGGAATTAAATTCAAACAGAAAAAGGCACTCGACTATTCTAAAAAGATCTATATAAAGGCTGATTTAATAACACCAATGCGAAGAATAGTATTTTACATTATTAGCCAGGTAAAACAGTTTTTATATCCTACTGAACTATTAAAACCATATAATACCTTGGTTACGATAATCATAAACAGGGTCTTAACTCCCGGTCTTAACTCCCAAGGGAGTTAACGATTTTCATAACTCCCAAGGGAGTTAAGGAAGGGAGTTAAGGATATCATAACTCCCAAGGGAGTTAAGGATTTCTATAACTCCCGCTTTTACCTTGAATAGGTAACACTTTGACAAAAAATAGAAATTTTGATTTATGGCTTATTCCTTTATAAAAATAGACAGAATACAGTAAATTCAGTAGGATATAAAATTATCTATGTACCACGGGAATTATCAGGAGTTAACGGGCAATTGGTGTCCCTCGGGCCGGAGGCCCTCGGGACACAAACGTTGCCCTGGGGTATTAACACCTGCATAATTCCCTTGATACATAAATAATTATTACTGGCGATTGAAGGAAATGACTAGCGAGCCGTCAGGCGAGCTTGTCACCTTCAAGAGCCAGTAAAAACTGCTACCTGGCGTATAATGTACAATAATTTATTTGTTACTCATTTGTAAAAGATATAGGGACAAATAAAAAATTAATACATAACACAATTTTGAAATTTATACGTTTTTCCTTAATTTTTTCTGATACAAGTTGGTAGTTGGTATACCTATGAGAATGAGATGTTGTTATGTCGTTGTTTCTAGTTAAAAATAGCTTTACTGACAGATTTCCATTTTTTGCAATTTTTTTCCAGAAATGAATGTGCTAGATGATATTAATAATGAAGCTACAGTCGTAGCTAATAGTTTACCACCAGAAAAGTCTACCAGAAGGTACCTACAAGCAATTATTCTTGTGATAAAACTGATTTTTTAAAAATAAATAATTCTACTGACTTGTAAAAAGTTTTTACAGTTTAGCTGTCAATTTTACAAGTCAGTAGAGCCAGTAGCTTGTAAAAATCAATTTTCGTTGTTTATGTTTTGACTTGATAAGTGACGTTTTACAAATGAGTGACAAATAAACTTCTTAAAAGAAACCTGTTGAAGAGCTAAAAAAACGAATAGAACAAAGGAAAAAAAAAAGATAAAATATTTCAACTCCACACCAAAAATTATTGTCACCAAAAATATTTTAAAAAACTAAAAACAAAAACTATTGAAATCGCCCTATGGTATAGTAATGTACAGGGTGTTTCCTTATATTTTGACCCCTACCTACAGCTTTAGCTATACGAGGAAAAAAAATTTGAATATGAAAGTTGTAGGGTTTTATGTCTATTATCTTTTGCGATTGTCAAAATTGTCAAATGACAGGTGCCAACTGTCACAATGACAAACACTTGCATTTTCCAAATGGAGCACCCTGTATATTTTTGGCTAGAATGATAGATTTTTTTTGTTCTGATTCCAAATAAATATATGTATGTTGATATTTCGTTCAGCTGTTTTTACACTATTCAAGTTTAAAAATGCATTTATATTACCCTCAATGTCTTATATCAATGACAAGGTTTGCTCAATGCAATTTTAAAAATAAATAGCGCAAAAACAACTGATCCAAAATATATCAATATACAGGGTGAGTTACTAAGCACGCGGTCGTCCATATCTCCTATACTAACGGAGATCGAAGAAAAAACTAAATACAAAACTTGTAGATAAACATGAGTACTACATTCCTAAATTATTTTCCAGTATACTGGGTGTCCCAATAAATAGTAGTGACGCAAAGTTATGTTTATTTAAATGACTTCCCCTGTATATTATGACTTTTCTGGATTCTGCGAAAAATTCTAGTCATATTTCATGAACAATATCATATACCTATCTTCAACTGTTCTGGAAATATTGACAGTTGAAAATTGACTTTTTTCCATCTTTGACAGACTGTGAAACCTAAACGGGTAATTTTAGAGGTAAACGGATTTTACATTCCTATCTTAGATTTTCATAAGCTATCATTTGACACCAACTTTGAATTTAATCGAAGATTAATAATTTAGGCGGAATTTTTAATCGTGGATTAAATTCAAGATTGGTGTCAAATGATAGTTTATGAAAAACTAAGATAGGAATGTAAAATCCGTTTTCTTGTAAAATTAACCGTTTAGGTTTTACAGTCTGTCAAAGATGCAAAAAGTCAGTTTTCAACTGTCAATATTTCCGAAACAGTTGAAGATAGGTATATGACATTGTACATAAAATATGTCTAGAATTTCCCGCAGAATCCAGAAATGTTATAACGTACAGGGGGAGTTATTTAAAAAAACATAACTTTGTGTCACTACTAGTTATTGGGCCACCCTGTATTCTGGAAAATTATTTAGGAATGTAGTACTCATGTTTATCTACAAGTTTTATATTTAGTATTTTCTTTGATCTCTGTTAGTATAGGAGATATGGACCACCGCGAGCTTAGTAACTCACCCTGTATATGATATATTTGGAATCAGAAGAAAAAAATCTATCATTCTAGCCAAAAATATACAGGATGTTTCATTTGAAAAATGCAAGTGTTTGTCATTGTGACAGTTGGCATCTGTCATTTGCCCGTTTTGACATTCGCAAAAGATAATAGACATAAAACCCTACAACTTTCATATTTAATTTTTTTTTCCACTTCGTATAGCTAAAGCTGTAGGTAGGGGTCAAAAAATAAGGAAACACCCTGTATGTAAAATCGTTAACAAACAAAATTGGAAAATGGACGGCATCAATTCAAAAGTAGCAACCTACATTTATATTCGTAACGGCTGGATTTTTCTCAATCTCTTAAAATAAAGCCCGGAAAAAATAACAACCAGAATCACAATTTTCGCAATTTTCCAGATATTTCCGTACGTATAAGTATTCTCAAATTTTAAAACGGCATTTTGTTAAGCTTCAAAATGTGCAACTTTTGTCTAGTTTACCAACGCCTGGACTTTATCTCTGTAAGGAAACTGAGAAAGGTCTCTTTCTAATACATTGTGTCTTATGACAAAAACCGAAATAATTTTTTTTCTCGAAAACTGTTAGAGATAAACCTATCGAACTTTATATCATTGAAATCAGCAAAAGCATAGCTTTCTAATGAACTATTAAAATATAGGGTGTCCTATTGAAAAAAATCGGATTTTGGTCAATATCTCGAAATCGAAGCCAGACAGAAAAAAACTGAGAACGTCACTGAATTCTGCTTGAAAAAGTGCTTCCAAAAGTTCTTTACGGAAATGAATTATTTTCATAAACAAAAAAGTTATGGAGGCTTTACAGTATCGCTCAAAATCAAGAATCGCCCTCTAGCGGCTAAACGGTTGAAGATATCAAAATGCGGTTTGAACCAATCAAGATTTCATGAAATTTGAGCCTCAGAGTGGGGAGTCCATTTTTTTCTATCTCTAAAAATAAAGGGTGTTTCCATAAGAAAGTGTCCAATTTGGCCCGCCCTGTACAGGGTGTTTCAAATTCGAGCCACATCATTGGGATCTCGGAAACGGTGAGAGATACAGGGTTGGTTAAATTGGGGCAAAGTTGCGTAATTTGATGCTTAACAAAATGCCGCTTTGATATTTAGGATATTCCGAATACTTCCGGAGATATCCGGAAAAAACCGAAATTTTGCAAAATTGTTTTTATTTTTTCTTGACTTTATTTGAAGAGATATTTAAAAGAAAATCTCAGTTCATCGTAGCTACTTTTTTTCGCCTACAGGATGCTAGCATCAAATTTAAAATCTGACGTTTTGTCTTTGGGCCACCATTATCAACTTCATTTTCTTAAATACGGACCCTTATTTTTTTTTTTAGATTTTATAAGCTTCTGATGTCCTAAAACTAATGACCTATTGCACTTATTCGAAAAATTTATATTATTGGCACTTTCCATAAGAACTTAATGTGTTAGAGAGAGACAGAGAGGAGAATTTCGGTAGGAAATTACTAGAAAATAAAAAAAAATATTTTTTCGAATAAATGCAATACGTCATAGGTTTTGGGACACCAGCAGCTCCTAAAATGTGATATAAAAAATCCAGGGTCGTATTTAAAAAAATAAAGTTGATGACGGTGGCTCAAAGACGAAACGTCAGATTTCAAATTTGATGGTAGCATCTTGTAGGAGAGAAAAAAGTGGCTATGATGAAGTGATATTTTTTTGAAATATCACTTCAAATAAAGTCAGGAAAAAATAAAAACAATTTTGCAAAATTTCATTTTTTTTCCGGATATCTCCGTAAGTATTCGGAATATCCTTAACATCAAAGCGGCATTTTGTTAAGCATCAAAAAACTTTGCCCCAATTTAACCAACCCTGTATCTCTCGCAGTTTCCGAGATCCCAATGATGTGGCTCGAATTTGAAACACCCTGTACATCATAAAGACAATTATGGTTTTCAAAAGAAGGTTTTGAGTCCAATTACTATTTGAGGATGCAAAATCCTTGATTTGGAACAACTGTACATTAAATCTGTGATAACATTCTGACTCACATCTTCATTTCAAAGTTTGTATTGATTCCATGGTTGGTTTCTTGTGAAACATGATAATTATTAATATATAGTTGGGAACGCAATTAAAACTTCCAACAATGATTCAAATTTTAATATGTATATACAAGTACAAACGCAGTAATCCATATAAAATCTGAACAATCATGGAAAACAAAAATGTTTCTCTTTCATAGTCTTGTATACAGTGTGTCCCACTTAAGGACTGACCACCCTTCTAAAATTTTTATTTTTCAACCGATTCAATTCATTTTTTTTTTGTCTTACATCTACTCGAATTTGGCACTTATTAAGCTGACAATTTTATATCTGCGGCTGTACTAGTGTACAGGGTGTCCACATTTATAGGCTCAAATTTCAATAAGTACTATTAGAGATTTTTTTAGTAAAAATCTGATAGCAGATTCTTGTTTAGAATGGTGTAAAATCCCAATATACTAATTTTTGTTTCAATATGATACAGGGTGATCACAACAAATTTTCAAAATTCAATGGACCAAACCGCAAAAATGTCATATTTTGAGGCCTTGAGAACAACATAGTTTCAGAACATCCTCAACCAAAACTTGTAGTAAGCTTGTCTCAAAATATAACATTTTTGCGCTTCGATTCATTAAATTGTGAAAATTTGTTGTCATCACCCTGTATCATATTGAAACAAAAATTAGTACATTTGGGTTTTAAACCATTCTAAACAAGAATCTGCTATCAGATGAGCCAAATAAGTGCCAAATTTGAGTAGATATAGGACAAAAAAAAATGAATTGAATCAGTTGAAAAATAAAAATTTTAGAAGGGTGGTCAGTCCTTAAGAGGGACACACCGTACATAAACTTCTACATTTCTTATCAACAAAGAGGATCAGAAAACACTAGTAATAGTTAATCAACCATACTATTCCCTTATTGACAATTTGATAAATTAAAGTTTGAAACAAAGAATAAAGTAACATTAACACAAAAACACACCAAGGCTGGGTTTATTCATCTTTCTTTCAATAAACTTGCAGGTAACTGTCTAGAAGACATACGAATATATATAACAAACTTGTTATCCAGCTTATTAAAGGATTCTAGATTGCGTTTTTATCTGTGAGATTGCATTACCTGACAGTTTATAAGAAGGTCAATAAACGGGCCTAAACAATATAAAAATTACTGGAATTTGGATACATTGCATCGATCACAATAATAAGTGCATCATTTAACCTTGATTTCATCATTATGTAAGATTATGCCTTTTTATTGATATAATGTCCATTCATCAATATTATTTACCACCTACTGAAGATTACTATTTATTTATTTATGTATTAATAAATAAATAAATTAATAAATAAATAAATAGTAATCTTCACTCTTCAGTAGGTGGTAAATAATATTGATGAATGGACATTATACCAAAAGTCTTCAATAATACCACGAATATTTTTAAAATTGGTTTGGCATTGAGTTGACAAATTCTAGCGAAAGAAAGTAATGCAAACAAAAAAATGATTCTTACCCTTGAGGCATAAAAGGTGGTGGCTGACTGCCTGGGGGCGGCAATCTAAAATTTGGCGGCGCGTTGGTAGGATGATAAGGTGGCGGCTGGTTCAGAGGAAACCCTGTGGGATGCATTGTAACTGGATGACCCTGAGTAAATTAAAATTATGCAAATTATTGATATGATGATATTGACAACAATAAAACACAAAAAAAGGTACTCACTTGCATTGGCGGCATCCCAGGAGGCGGTACATTAGTACCATGACCTGGATATTGATTAATTGGTGGTGCATAATTATTTGCAATTCCTGGTGGCGGTTCGTCTCTTGTAGGGGTACCGCTTTGCCTCTCAGAAACATGTCTTTAAAAACAATTAAGAATTATAACAGAAAATTAGTTTAATAAAAATCCTACCTTGATTCGTAACTAGGAGATCTCCTACTACGAGATTTCCTTGGCGATGGTGACCTACTCCTGCGAGACTTATGGGAACCTAAATCATATGATATTTATAATTATTATTGTGCCAAAAAAAAAACAACTTACGATGTTCTGTTTCCCTGGATTTCTCTTTATCTCTGGATTTTTCTTTGTCCTTTTTAGAAGCTTTGCTGTGGGCTTTACGAGTCGGAGAAGAATCTTCTGGTGAAACTCCTGGTGGGCCATCTGGGTCTTCAGATTTGGATTTTGGAGGATCTAATTCAATATCCTAAGGAACAAATTAAATTGAAAGGTGCTAATGGGCTCTAGATTTAATAGTAGAACAGTATTCAACACAACAGAGATCAATTTCCAGCAAGCCTAAAACTAAAGTTAATCAAAACTTACTTTAGAAAATCCGTTTTTGTCATGCTCAGTAGAATCAGCTTCAGAAATGACAGTCTTTTCTTCTTCCTTTAAATTTTCTTTCGCATCTACTACTGGAGGTGTAGCTTCTTTTTTAGCGACCTCCTCTTTAGGAATATCTGTTTTTAACTTGAAAACTGGTTTCTTTTCATAACCGGTTGTGTTTTTGAAGTTAGCCACTGATTTGCGCAAAAACCTATTGAAAAAAACATAGAAATTTTTGATTGATGACCTTGATAAAAATCAATTCAAAAGAATTTGAAGCTGCATTAAAACTATTAAATACAGATTTGTAGATGATTAAATTAAACTACATATCTCCTTTATTATTATTATTACGTATAATGCATAATAATTTATAATTTCCCAAACCAGATTCTTACCTATTAGGAATCAATGTTGCAGGTGAAATTTCCTTTTCATGACAATCGGGACATTCATGCTCTTCACTATCTAATAAAAAGCTCCTGATGCACTCATCGCAAAAAGAGTTACCACAACAAGGAATCATAACGGCATCAGTTAACAAGTCGGAACAAATCGAACAAACCAAATCCTCGGGAATTTCAGGTTTCGGCTCTTGCGCTGCAATCGGACCTGTGGACTTTTGATTGTAAGCTTGCAAATCCAAGGCGGAAACCGCGTATTGCCCATTGGCCATCATCATGGCTCCAGGAACTTGGGGACCATCCACGGGAACTAGGAAACTGTGAGGTATGCCGGTGCTTTTTTTAATTTCAACTGGATCCTGGAAAAAATTTGTTACATCTTAGAACTACTGAGATAACTGAATACACTTACAGTTCCTTGTCCCAAAGGGCAATCTTTAATCCAATGCCCCGTCTGATAGCATTTATAGCAACGATAAGAAGCTGGCACTGGACCTACTTGATTTGCACCACGAATTTTTATATAACTACAAATAGATTTAGTATCAGTTTTTTTTTTGGCAAAACAAAAAAGGGAAAGGACTCACTTGCTAGGATCATAGTCCTGCGTGCTCTGAGACATCATGGCTTTGATTTTATCGTCTTCAGGAGCATCGAGATTAGCCAAGTCCATGGCTTTGCCTACTGGTCCACCCTCATCCACTTTGGTAGGTTGATTATCGTTACCCCCATAGCCTTCCCATTGCTTTTGCTTAGGGGCTGTTATGGGTATTCTAGCGATTAGTAGGGAGGTGTTTTTGGGGATGAGAGCGTTTTCATCTTCGTACACTGCAAAAAAAAAACATTGATTCATCAAAATGTAACTTGGCAACATAATTTCCAAATGATAAATTTCAGGAAGTAGTATTAAATCATTTATTAAACTGCGCTAAAGAAGAAATTGAAAGTCGAACCAATTCAAATTAATATTAGTGGTAATATTGAGTGCTTACTGCGAAAAATTAAAATTAAGAAATTGTTATTTTATTTGTGTGTTATATAATATTATATTCCTCCAAATAGTTGTCATGATGATTATGACCATTTTTTTTTTCAGTTTTTGATAATATTCTATGTACAAATGTTGATATTTTATTCTCAGGAGACTTTAACTTGCCTCTTTTTGGTAGTAATAAGGGCTGTATAAATAGTGATTTGTTAAGTAATTTTATTAAGGTCCACAATCTTACCCAATGCAACACAATTTTCAATCACATACAAAGGAAATTGGATCTAGTACTGTTGAACATGAATATTGGTGATTTAATGAAATGCAACAATCCACTTGTAAATGAAGATGCTTCATCCTTCTCTTGAGTTTTTTTTGCTTATTCCAGGTTCTTCAATATTATTGTCCACATTTTTGTTTTGAAATTTCTTTTAATACGAATATTTTTTATTTACTTCATAGATAAAGTGTTTGAATCATTTCTATTATTGTCTATTCCATGTCTCTAAATACTAAAATATCTACCTATATCTCAAAGGGCAAACTACCTAGGAATTCTTTGCCAAAAATGTGGGGAATTTAGAGGAATTTGTGGGGAATTTGAAGGAACTCATTGAAATTTATGAGAATTCGAGGAATTTATAGGGAATTTGGAGAAATTTATGGGGAATTTGGAGGAATTTGTGAGGAATTTAGGAAATGTGAGGAAATTGTAGAGTTATGACGTCATTGAAGTTCACATTCTTATTATAAGAAACCTCGTAAGAAACACTAATAAATGGAAATTTAAAAAAAAAAATCAAGTTTTTTGTTGAAGGTTGGACATTCATTTTCATTGAAGAAATTCTCCCAAAATTTCACTTCATGATTTACAGGTCCAAATTTAAAAAATTCAAAACAATAATGAGTATAGTTTTTGTAAGTTGATTTCCAAGATTCTTCATGTTATTTTCCGATGAAAAAATTAGAAATTTTGGGAAAATGAGCTTCTTCTCTACATGCAAAAAGTTTCAAATTTTTCCGTTCACTAGTTTTCCAGGAAAACTTTGAAATGTGTGAGACGGTATTTTCAACTAATTCAGTTTTTGTAAGTTGATTTCCAAGATTCTACATGTTGTTATTTTCCCTTTACTAGTTTTCCAGGAAAGCTTTGAAATGTGTGAGACTGTATTTTTAATTAATTCATTTATTGTAGGTTGATTTTCAATATTCCTCATGTTGTTATTTTCTACTGGAAAAATTTGAAATTTTGAGAAAATGAGCCTTTAACCTTTCTACTCTTCAAATGCAAAAAGTTTCAAATTTTTGCCTTCACTAGTTTTCCAGGAAAACTTTGAAATGTGTGAGAATGTATCTTCAAATAATTCAGTTATTGTAGGTTGATTTCCAAGGTTCTTCATGTTGTTATTTTCCACAGAAAAAAATTGAAATTTTGGGAAAATGAGCCTCTGACCTTCTTCTTCGCATGTAAAAAGTTTCAACATTTTCCCTTAATTAGTTTTCCAGGAAAACTTTAAATTGTGTGAGACTGTATTAACAATTATTCCAGTTTTTGTAAGTTGATTCCCAAGATTGTTTATGTTGTTATTATCCACTGGAAAAATTTGAAATTTTAGGAAAATTAGCTTCTTCTCCTTTCTCTTTACATGCAAAAAGTTTCAAAATTTTCCCTTCACTAGTTTTCCAGGAAAACTTTGAATTGTGTGAGACAGTATTTTTAATTAATTCAGTTATTGTAGGTTGATTTCCAAGATTCTTCATGTTGTTATTTTCCACTGGAAAAATTTGAAATTTTGGGAAAATGAGCCTCTGACCTTCCTCTTCACATGTAAAAAGTTTCAATATTTTCCCCTAATTAGTTTTCCAGGAAAACTTTGAATTGTGTGAGACTGTATTAACAATTATTCCAGTTTTTGTAAGTTGACTTCCAAGATTGTTCATGTTGTTATTTTTCACTAGAAAAATTTGAAATTTTAGGAAAATGAGCTTCTCCCCTTCCTCTGCATGCAAAAGGTTTTATAAAACTTTTCCTTCACTAGTTTTCCAGGAAAACTTTCAAATGTGTGAGACTGTATTTTCAATTAATTCAGTTATTGTAGGTTGATTTCCAAGATTCTTCATGTTTGTGAGAAATTTTAAGTTTTTTTTTTTACATGCAAAAAGTTTCAAAATTTTCCCTAAGTAAATTGGTTTTCCAGGAAAACTTTGAATAGTATGAGGCTGTATTAACAATTATTTAAATTTTTGTGAGTTGATTTTTATGATTTTGGATGTTGTTACTTTCCAATGGAAAAATTTGAAATTATGGGAAAATGAGCTTCTCCCCTTTCTCTTTACATGCAGAAAATTTTAAAATTTTCCCTTCACTAGTTTTCTAATAAAACTATGAATTATGTGAGACAGTGTTTTTAATTAATTCAGTTTTTGTCGAGGGGTGTGACACTTCTAAGTATTTTGTACAACTGATTTTTGATTTTCATTACTTTAATGAAAATCAATGAAATCAAAAATTAGATTTGGTAAAGCTTCATGATTTCACTTGATTTCACTTGATTTCAATGACTTCTTGAGATAATTATTTGATTTTACTTGATTTTGCTGATTTCACTTGATTTTGTTAATTTCATTGATTTCCCAGATTCACATTGATTTTTCAAGAGTAAATGAGATTTTACTAGATTCACACAGATTTCATTATTTCATTACCATTTACTATACGTTGAGATCGAAATTATTGGTAATAACTCATGCCATTAGCAACGCTATATCAAGTTAGTGGCATCATAATTAGGGGTGTACCTAAAATGACGGTCATTTATTTTTTGTGATAGGTGACAGTCATTTTTTTGTCATTTTTGTCATTTATTGTCATTTATGGACATTTAATTTCCATGTAGAACATAACATTTCTATGCATAACATTACTTAAATTAAAAATCAGCTGATGACGAGAGTGTCATAAAAATAAATGACGTGGCCGTCATTTTGATTTTGACTGTGACATTTCTATGTGTGAAATCACATCTCGAATGACATTGTCAGAAAAATTGGCTCACATCCCTACATAATAAAGTCGAGAAGTTTTACTGTGCCAATACTACTACTTCACAGAAATTACACCATGTTGTGAGTAATTTCGATCTTGGGTAGTATAGGCGTCAGGCGAGGGGTGAATAGCTGACCCAAAATGTGTACAGGGTGTCCAAATTTGGATGGTTTTAATAGGAAACGTCAATTTCTGAGCCATATACAAAAAAATGAACCCCCCACTCCGAGGCTCAAATTTTATGAAATCTTGATTGGTGCAAACCGCATTTTGATATCCTCAACCGTTTAACCGCTAGAGGGCATTTCTCGACTTTGAGCAGTACTGTGAAACCTTCATAACTTTTTTTTTTATGAAAATAATTGATTCCGGTAAAAACTTTTTGGAAGCACTTTTTCAAGCAGAACTCAGTGACGTTCTCGGTTTTTCTCTATCTGGTCCCGATTTCAAGATATTGACCAAAGTCCGATCTTTTTCAATAGGACACCCTATATATTAGTAGCTCATTGAAAAGCTCTGCTTTTACTGATTTCAATGATACAAATTTCGATAGGTTTATCTCTAACAGTTTTCGAGAAAAAGAATTATTTTGGTTTTTGTCATAAGAAATAATGTGTTAGAAAAGGACTTTAACCTGTAAGGTATAAAGTCCTTTTCTAACACATTTTTTCTTATGGCAAAAAAAATAATTTTTTTTCTCGAAAACTGTTAGAGATAAACCTATCGAAATTTGTATCATTGAAATCAGTAAAAGCAGAGCTTTTCACATGAGTTATTAATATATAGGGTAGTCCTATTGAAAAAGATCGGACTTTGGCAATATCTTCGAAATTGGGGCCCAGATGGAGAAAAAACCGAGAACGTCACTGAGTTCTGCTTAAAAAGTGCTTCTAAAAGTTTTCTACGGAAATCAATTATGTTCATAAACAAAAAAGTTATGAAGGTTTCACAGTATTTCTCAAAATCGAGAAATGCCCTCTAGCGGCCAAACGGTTGAAGTCGTTGAAGATATCAAATGCGGTTTGCACCAATCAAGATTTCATGAAATTTGAGCCTCGGAGTGGGGGGTTCATTTTTTTGTATCTCGCTCAGAAATTGACGTTTCCTATTAAAACCAACCAAATTTGGACACCCTGTACACTGAGGTCACCGGCTGCCAATTTCCACAGTCTTTAAGAGGGAAACAGCTTCCCATGTACACTGTGTCCTAAATTGCTTGTAATCACAGGATTTCTCGGTAACCAGCAGAGATAGAACTTTGCGGTTTTCGCCAACCTCTGTATCAATTTTTCGTGAAACTTTGAATGCCGCAAACAGAATTGTGCCACCTTGTTTCGTTCCCAAGATACAGTGTGAAATAGAAATTTTGCGTTTTTTGGGGTGGTATCGTATTTCGGACACCCTGTAAGATAGAAAAAAGGCGAAAACTACTGTAGATAGATATTTTTATGTAGAATCCAGTGTTGTAGTCAATACTTAATATTGCGTCACTAAATTCATCAAGATTATTAGGTTCATCAAGTTCAAAGTAAAAAATAGTTATTTAAAAAATTAATATAGTTCATACCAAATAAACTTATAGTCGGGTTGTCAAGCTCGGCCGGCACAGCGTTGCCGTCTCTTGCATATTTTCCTTTGGTCAAAATATTTTCAGAAACAATAATGAATTATATTATGATATAATGCAAACATTTATTACTTAAATTATTAACATTGTTTCAAAGCTTGGCTTAATAGATATTTAATAACAACTTATTTGTCAATAATCACATAAAATATAATAGTAAAGCTCAG